TTAATTTGATGTTCTGGGGTTGTCAAGGTTTTTGGTTTTGTTTGATCCTGTGTTTGATTTGAGTGAATTTAATTAAGGGACGCTCATTTCGTCAATTTTGACGGGTTTGATATGCTGCTGTGGCTAGTTTTGAATTCTGCGATTTGAAAGATTACTGCAGCTGCTGGGGAGGTATAGAAGCCTTAGTAGGTTATGGCGTTTTCGTTTCTAATGAATAGAATACCCATTTCATCAATTGAGGGGATCTATTACCACTCTCTAGTTTGGATCCTGAGCCATCTCTTTGCTTAGTAATTGATAAGCTGTAATCTCTAAATAAACCAATTTTAAGTTTAGATTTGTACCTGCTTAAGGGTACCCAGTTCCATTAATTTCATGTTTGATCTGTTGTTATGTGTAGTTTTGGAAACTAAGATCTCTCTTTATTCAGTGTATGACAATTTGTAATGGTATGTCATCCTGAGGTTGAAATCCAGTTAGGCATATGTAAACTTTTGACAGTTTCTAGATTGACAAGAGGAAAAAGGTATTTACTTTGACAATTTTGTATTAGGGTCTTCATACCCATAAGCGTAGTAATTCCACTTGTTAGGCTTCTATATGTGTCTCCAAATTCCATTTCAAGGATAATTCCCTTTTCATGTTTTTATTGTTTGATTTATATCCCATCTTAGGTCTAACTTTCTTTTTACCTTTACATGTTGATTTTTATGTATTAGTGTCCTTTTAGAGCGTACACTGAAATGAAGATGTTGATAACTTGGAATCTGGATCTCTTGGAATTTCTTGAACCATGCTTGATTTTATTGATGACTTCATATAAAGTATGATTCCTCCAATGCTCCAAGGAAACACACCAACCTATGTTTTGAAAGAATGTATGCTAGCAGTTGTGGAGGCAATTCAAGACAGCATTAGTGTTAAGGCAGACAAAATTGTTTTTATGGTTGCTTTATAGCATTTGAAAGCTGGTCCAATTTTATCATAGCAACCAAATGTTAATTCCTCATTATAGGAATTTTAATCTCCTTCTTGGCTGGCTGCAAAGCTGACAATCTCCTGTGTTCGCTCTGAAGCCATTTTTTGCATTGGATGAAAATTATTTTCTAAAAGTGGGAAGAACTTTTGCATTGGTACTCTCTTGTTTTGTATTTGTAAAATACAACCTTGTTATAATGGTGTTTCCCAAAAGGGTGGTTCAGCTTTCAAATTGTTTTCAGTATTTCGTGCGGTGTTCCCTTGATGTTCTCATGTCCTTGGGTTAAATACTTTCTTACTAGTTATATAGCCACATGCTTTAACGTGTGAAGTAAAATGTTCAATTTTCTGGGACTTAAAAAGTTTTCATTTATCACACTTAAGATAGTAATGTCACTTTTTCCCTTTTCTTGCTTTCTTTTTTTGCAGGTTTGTCCAATCTCTCCGTCACAGGTTAGGGTCTATTCTGTTATTTGTGTCTTATTTTTTAGTTCCAATGGAGCTGTTCTAACCATTGGAAAAACTTCTTTTCACTGGATTCTTGTGCAAATTATGGCGGTGACACAGATTGTGGTGGCACTGACCCTGATCTCAAAGAAGAGATGGAGAAGCAGTTTGTGGACCTCTTGTCAGAGGAGTTGAAGTTGCAGGAGGCTGTTTCTGGAGAGCATACTCGCCATATGAACATCACCTTTGCTGAAGCAAAACGGGTTGCTTCCCAGTACCAAAGAGAGGCAGAAAAATGCAATGCTGCCACCGAAACATGTGAGGAGGCCAGAGAGCGAGCTGAGGCATTTCTGAGCAAGGAGAGGAAAGTTACCGCCTTGTGGGAGCAAAGAGCCCGGAAAATGGGTTGGGAAGGGGAATAATTGTTTATGTAAATTGTTACATAAAATTCCTAGATAAACTGTTGATTCATTCCACCTTGATATTCAAGCAGAGAATGCAAAATGCTATTGTTGTCTTTTGATTCTCTGAAGGCAAAAGGGCATCTCTTTCTCCTTCTCCCTCGTAGTTGCATCTATAAATTTTTTACCTGTATCTGATGTACGCGGTGGACCTGTAACCTCCAAAATTTCTATAATGTGATTTCTTACTTCACTCTTTCCAGCATTTTGATTTATTTTCATTCTCAACTTTTTCTGATTTTCTTACGTTACTAAAGACATTTACCGAGTTAAATGAACTATTTTTAAACTTTGGCAGCAAGTTGAAGGAAAACCAGCAAAAGCAAACAAATAATTTTAAATCTTTCTAACTTTCTTGCACACTCTTTACTTTCTAGTCATTTTCTTGGTATTCAAACAAGAAACAGTGTGCGTATTAGCGAAGGAACATGAAGATATGTAGACCTCCATTTGACTTTTAAGAAAGACAAAAACCAATACTAGGCAATAGAGAAGACAGCAAGAAACGCGGTTTCAACTTTCAGCCTTCATGCACTCACTCTCCACACAGCTGTATTTTTTGAATTTAATAAATCCCAAGATGCAGATAACCCCTATTAAAATAATCAGTTATAGAACAAAAATGAATCCAGATCTACCGATAGAAAAGAGAGACCCCAGATCCTCCTTTCTGGAAATATGAGCTATTTCTTCAATACCCAGATCCAAAAATGTCATCTTGAAGCTCATTTTTAATGGGTTTAGTGTTTGAAGCACGATCAAGGAAAATTTGAGTTACTTTCTAAGGTGTTCTCCTTTGAAGCTTCTTGGGTTCCATAGAACAATATTGGGTTTATATATATTTTTTTTCTCTAAATTTAGAAATAATAAAAGTTGAGGGAGAATCCCCGACATGGAAAATTCAAGAAACAAGAGAGGGTATGGGGAGAGCGTTGAGGATGCAGAGCACGCACCGGAATCAAAAAAACAGAAGTTGCCGGCTTTGGCAAGGTACTTACGTTTTACATTTTTGTTAATGGGTGCTCTTTGTTGTATCATATTCATCTCATGAGTAGAAATGTGGGTTTTGCATCGAGTTGCTTGAAAGTGTTTGGGGCTTGATCTTCTTTATTACTGGGAAGAATATGTTTGAGATTGGATTTGATTGATATGCATCTGATTTGAGTTTTGGCATAATCAAGGATTCATGAATCTGTTTCCTGATGCATTAGTTGATGTATTTGCAGCGTAATTGTGGAAGCTTTGAAGGTGGATAGTTTGCAAAGACTTTGCTCATCTTTGGAGCCTCTGCTCCGCAGAATTGTGAGTTTGGAAACTCTTATTAGCATTAGGTAGATAGCAAAAATGTTCCAAAAGGATGATTGATCAACCTATGGTGCTGCATATACTGTTCACCACTTTGCTTTTTCCCTGAGGATTGATATCTCTCTTTGCTTTCGCTGCAAGTGAAAATTTTGCTTGCAATCTAAGTATCAAGGTTAGCTTTTTAAGATCATCTCTTGTGAATGAATGACAGGTTAGTGAAGAAGTGGAGCGTGCTTTGGTAAGATTAGGGAATGCTAATTTGACCGGAAGGTTTGTTCCTACATCAATATTTAGACTCTGACTTAATTTTTCTTTATCCTGTCAGATCAATGATCAACGTCACGCTTGTGCCTGATTCTCAAAAAAAGTAGAGATTTGCTAATTGATTTACCATTCATGTGGGTTGAAGAGTCACCATAATAATGTCTATAAGTCTCTAATCCAGAATTTGAGGAAGTTGGGTAGAATTATGATTAGATGGAAATCTGGTTCTTATCTTTGTTACTTCTTTTTCTGGGTATGTTAATAGGTGAAACATGTGTTATATCATTTATATGTCATGTTTATTGTGAATATGCCGCAAAACATGTAATTTGTCTAAAGCCTGGATGAGATATGTCAGGGTTTCAATGGAGGTTATTAACATCTTAGAGAAGTAACAGGTTGCATCTCTACCCATTATAGGTCATCACCTCCAAAGATACAAAATGGGGATGGAAGAAATCTACAACTTCATTTCAGAACAAGAATGCCACCTCATTTATTCACAGGTGGGAAGGTTGAGGGAGAGCAAGGGACAGCCATCCATGTTGTCTTGCTAGATGCAAACACAGGCGCTGTTGTGCAAACTGAACCAGAATCAGCAGCCAAACTGAGTGTTGTGGTGCTTGAAGGTGACTTCAATGAAGAAGCTGATGAGGATTGGACTAAAGAGCAATTTGAAAGCTTTGAAGTAAAAGAGCGCGAGGGGAAAAGGCCACTTTTGACAGGGGATTTGCAGATGACTCTCAAAGATGGAGTGGGAACTCTAGGAGAACTTACTTTCACTGACAATTCTAGCTGGATTAGGTGTAGAAAGTTCAGGCTCGGTGTAAAGGTTATTCCTGGACACTGTGAGGGAATCCGAGTGCGTGAAGCTAAATCTGAAGCTTTTGCTGTTAAAGACCATAGGGGAGAATGTGAGTTTTCATGCAGCTTTTGCATAATGATTGCTAGTCAAATTCTAAGATCCTCTGACAAATCCTCTAAATAATTAAAAGCATGCTTAGCTCTTATTTTTGACTTGAATACCTACAGTCTGAATAAGAAATTCATGAAGCACTGCATCCATTATTTTCCTACAGGAAATTTATTACAGTCAAAACTGTAGTGATTGTGGTGCTTAATGCAATCAGATTGTTAAAACTCATCAATTACTTATTAAAGACTTTGCATACTGCTCTTTATGAGTCCACAGTATTCCACTATGGTTTTTCATTCTAGAGCTTCTAGTAATCAGTCTTCTTTTTTTAAATCAAAATCGTGGTCATAAATTTGCAGTGTACAAGAAACATTATCCGCCTGCCTCACATGATGAAGTTTGGAGATTGGATAGAATAGCAAAGGATGGAGCACTGCATAAGAAGTTGCGGAAGGCTGATATTGTAACAGTTGAAGATTTTCTTCGGCTTCTTGTGAGGGATCCACAAAAATTAAGAAATGTAAGGATTGCCTTTTCCTAAACTCCTTTTCTTCCTATGTAGGTTGTCATGGTAATCCATACTCTTTACTTGCATTTCCTTTTCTAATTCTTCTTCATTTTCGCAATATAGATCCTTGGAGGTGGAATGTCCAACAGGATGTGGGAGAATACAGTGGAGCATGCTAAGACCTGCGTCTTGGGTGGAAAGCTTTATGTTTATTACACTGATCAAACTAATAACACTGGTGTTGTTTTTAATCATATTTATGAACTCAGAGGCCTCGTTGCTGATGGACAGTTCCACTCTTTGGAGTCACTCACTGACAGTCAAAAGGTTAGTTATCCTTTATTTCCTCAGTGTGTCCGAAGTTGATCTTAAGTTAAATTTAGGCAGTACATATAAAAACAAACATGGGTTTAAGTTTATGGCATTATGCATTATGGTTATAAAATAAGTTCCAGCCCTGCTCTTACGGATGATTGTAATTCAAGAGAAATTTTGCCTACAGATTTCAGTGGATTCCCTGGTGAGGAGGGCATATGAAAATTGGCATCAAGTGGTAGAATATGATGGCAAAGTCCTCAACTCCATTGCAAGCACTAAGGGAATAAAAGCCTTGGCTGCACTAACAAATAAGAATAACTATTTCGCAGATCACTCCAACACAACTACTCAGGACAGGCAGCAATACATCACACCTGAACCAAGTCAACAGATCCAGAACAACAACCACCACCTGGCTGTTCCTCAGTTGATTGAGTTTCCCTTTGTGAGTTCTGACCAGAATGCAGTAATGGCGCTAAATAATCCACAAGCAGCATTCGCTAGTAGCATGAATTACATGTCAACTGGAAATCCTACGGCTTCCATTTCTGGTTTTCAGGAAGATTGGTCTCAACCAAGGAATGGACAGGGATTGGAAGACTTTTTTGCTGAAGAAATTAGATTTAGGAGTTCAGAGATGTTGGAGAGTGATGACATGCAGAGAATGTTAAAGACATTTGGCATGGGGGTTGGCATGGGGACTGGTTTTGGTCATTCTAATGAGGCGTCTTATGCATGCAACAATCCCTTTGATCATCAGATAAACCATACATATGGGCAGGAACGCAACAGGGGCACTGGGAAGGCAGTGGTGGGCTGGCTTAAACTGAAAGCTGCTTTAAGATGGGGCATATTTGTCAGGAAGAGGGCTGCAGAGAGGAGAGCTCAGCTTGTTGAGCTCGATTGACTTTGAAGCTTGGAAGGAGCTTTTGCATAACTCCAGGTTTTGTTTTCCATGCCTATGTTTTGCAGGCAATCTAACAAAGCCAACTAGAAAACCAAAAATAGCAAATAATTTCTGTATATGCAAGTTCTCATCTAGTTTTTGGTGTATTCCCTTTGTTTTAACAGGTGTGATTTCATTCTTCCACTCTCAATTATCTTAATTTCTCAATTCAAATGTGTTGGATACTTGCTGGTGAGTAATTAATTATGGATGTTAAGCTTGGAGGCTGCTAGCATCTAATGACACTCCCATATATATAGGAGAGTCAAAATCAAAAACAAAGAGAAAAACTTTAGGATGTAATAAAATTTCTCCCATGGCTATCCATAAAGAGGTATGGAAACACCAGTAATGAATTTAAACAAGAAAAGAGAAGCTGTTATTAGTTGCAGCAATAAATTAAATGTAGAAACAGTGAATATTACATAATGATACAGACTCCCCATCTAGAGGAGTAAACTTGTGTTGTTATCCGATTTCATCCAAGAACCAGCTTCAACCAACTCGCATACCCAGGAAAGTATGCATCAAACCCAGTATTCTCCATCCATCAATGCTGTCTGATTATTTTGTCCCTGCATCATATACCACGTAGATATTAAGGCTGTCTGCCAACAACAAATATAATTTTGAAGAGATATGGATGGAATAAAACAATTGGTAAATGATGAAACTAGTGTAATCAACTCTTGTTCAATTAGCAAGGGTTAATTTGAAAACAGATTTTCCTTTTAGTTGTCACTCCTTTTTCTTCTATGTTTTGGGTCAGGGCTCCTAGCAAATGATGGTCTTAAAAAGGCAAAAATTAGTGATTAACTTCTTTGCTCTCAAGTAAATAGTTATATAGAAACACTTCATAAGAACAGTAGTTTGTAGTTGTGCCGGTGAAGAAAGACAACTTTTCAGCAAAGAGAGACAAAATAGAAATTTACTATAGGTACATAGAGATTACTTCAGGTACTGACTAGAGGCATGAATGATGCTAGTGATTCAACAGATGCTACCATCAAATCCACGAGACATAGATAAAAAAGTAACTGTTTAAATCACAATTAGTATCTTGTCTCCTTTCTTTATTGCATGTGATATGCATGATGTATCATTTTTTACAAGCTCCAGGTCTTGGTCTAAAACTAGGTCAAACTACAATTTGGATAGGAAAAGACAGAAAATGCAACTAAAAGTCTAAATCAGAAAAGAAAGTTCTCTGGTCATACCGGTTTGATCATGGCACTCATTATATCATCCAAGGAATCATAATTATTTTGAATGAAACTGTTCTGGGACTTCATCTGCTCTAACAGGATGTCCTCATTTGATCTTAATTTTGAGTCATAGGTAGATCTTTCACCCTTGGTATGCCCAGCAACATATGGTGCAACTCTATTTAATTGGCCAAACAACGAATCATCAGCCCTTTTACTGCCAACTGCACCACTTTGGTCCATTACAACACCACTTGAAGAAACTAGGGAGTTAACTCCACCAAATGAGCGGTTTAAATTTTGGTTGTAACCATGTTCTTCCCACTGTTGCTTTGCTGGGTAATTCATCTTCTGAATGACATCACTATTCATACCATTTTGGCACTGCATGTCTCCTCTAGAATCCTCCAGACTTGCTGTGATAGCCATGGAAGAAGCGAGATCACTTGTGTTGTTTCCCATTTGAGAGCTTGACCAAGAGAAGTTGGCTTGGAGATTATTGCAAGATAGCTGCTCATGACCAAAAGCTTCACTTATTGGCAACGAACTTGATGGCAATTTGGATAATTGAACAGCACCCTGCCAGTTATGGTTGCATCTATTACTATCAATAAAATTAGAACCTTGAACATCCATATTGAATGAATCCTGACTCTGTGAGGCAACAGCCAGAGAAGGCTTATTTCCAAATGCACCTCTACTTTGTGTTTGATGTGGATTTGCTTGTAACAACATACCGTTGCCTGAGGCTGTAGATACAGAGTTGCTTGAGCCACAGATTGTGACTCTGGCATCTGGGAAGCGTGAGGCAACACCAAAAAAAGCTGGATCATTAACATGGTTGAAATCTCCTATTTGAGTAGGAGATTTGATTTGAGAGAGCTGGTTGAGCTCTAATGATGTTGGGATCCCCTGCAACAAATTTGTATTTTGGTTTTGATTTGCAGGATAGATGGTGGGCTGGATCTTCCCAAGAGTATAAGCAGAGGTGCTCAAGCTCTGGGAATGTCCCTGTTGAATCATGCCAGAAGCAGCAATCCCGTGCAGACTTAAAGCAGTTGGTGAGTTTAGTCTACCAAGCATTCCACCCGGTTGATATGATGATAGAGAAGTGCTTGAGAGGCTTCCAGGTCCACTCAATGTGCGAAAATCTCCAAACCCATCCATTGAGCCCATATGCAAGTAAGATGGATCTTTACTGCCAAATGCAGCCACCAAGTTTGCTTGCTGGGTTGCTACACTGCTTAGTCTTTTCAGATAGAGCCTATATTTCTGCAAAAGAATACATGTAAGCTTCTACAAGGCCATCAGTTTTTGGTCCTATGAAATTTATGAAGTCCCAGACTTGTTGTGCAAAGAAAGAGAAATAAATGAGAAAGAAGAAAGGTACATGCCTGCAGATGGCTTGCTACATTTTCCCTTGTGAGCCCTTCAACATTCATCAGATCAAGGATTTTCTTTGGAACAGCCTCTACATTATGAGCAGAGAAAAAGAACATTAAAGGAGAAAAAAGGCAGTTAGAACAATATTGGCTGTAAATAGAAAGCACACTTCTCCTTAAGGAAAAAAAACTTACTATCTAGACCCAATTGATTGACAGCAGCAACAAACTTCCTATGCAGCTCTACAGACCAAACAACACGAGGCTTCTTCTGGGTAGACGGATCCTCACTTTCATTGCCATTATCTTCACCCTCCTCTTCTTCACCCTCACTTTGGTCCTTTCGTTTCTTACTGACTTTCCCACCATGATCAGCACTGCCTGTTGACGTGGCCCCTTGTCCAGCTTCTCCTGTTGTCCCCTGAGCCTTGTCTTGATTTGAGGACTTGGATTCAAATTTCTTTCTCCTGACTACATGTTGCCATATGTTCTTCAGCTCCTCAAATCTAGCAGGCTTCAACAAGTAATCAACAGCACCATGGGTAATCCCCTTCATTACAAGCTCGGTATCACTGTGCACTGACAACACTGGAATCCAACAAAGAGAATAATGACAAAATATTTTGTTAAAATTGTCACATAGTACTCAACCTCAGTCTACGACATGAATGACACACAAAATTACTTCACTTTAACTTTCTCAAGACTGTAGTTTCACCAAGAAAATGATAAATATTGCTTAATGCTAAGATTTATTCCTTCACTTCAAAAAAATTCAAAAAGAAGTCAAGGGAAAAAAAAAAATTGGTAAGGATAAAGTTCTAACAATTAATGCCATAAAATTGGAAAAGGAACAAAGCTTACTGATTACAGGTAGGTCCATTTCTAGTCCCACAAGCTCAAGAAGCTTAAAGCCATCCATATCTGGCATATTAACATCACTAATGACAAGGTCGAATTTGTTCTTGTTTTCCCTCAACATTTCAAGTGCTGTGATTGCCTGAGTGGTTGAAGTAACTGCAAAAACCATGAAATTCACATGTCAAATAGAAGTACAAATTTATGAATGCAGAGGCAAAAATACTCAGACAAAGCAATTAAAGAGGCTCCCCTAGAAACAGTTGCTTAAAGTTAATAACAGTTAAATCCATGCTACAAGCACAAAAAAGCAAACTTGCTTGAGAGAAACAGTACCTTCAGTTTTCATAAAGCCCAAGAAACTCAAAAACATGAAAATTAAACTAATGAAACACAAAGATTAAAACAACATGTACAAAAATTAGAAACTTGACACAACAGGTCAAAATTCAGAACAATTAACAAGTATTTTCCAGTAGAATTGAAAGCAGACTTCAAATTGCAACACAGACAAAAAAAATTGGCATTACAGGAAATTCCTGAAAATTAAAAAAAAAAAAAAAACCACACAGAGAGAAAACAGGAAACAAACCTTGATACTGGCACTTGCGGAGCAGATTAACCAAAACCTTGAGACAGGTTCGGTCATCATCAACGGCTAAAACCCGCATCCCCACCGGAAACAGGTCCCGGCCTCCATCCTCACCGTCTGAACCACCCCTTCTGTCCTCCACAGTCATCTTCAATCAAATTATCCAAAACACCCAGATAAGAAACAGAGATCACAAACCCAAATTCACTCTTCTTCCCAATCTCCAGATTCTCCACCCCCTTTTTCCCCACAATTACCCAGAACAAAAACAACCCAAAACAAATACGAAGATTGAAAAAAAAGGATATTGAATTTGAAGAGGAGCAAAAGCTGTACAAAGGGACAATGATGGTGATGGACAGAAGAACAAGAGTGAAAGCTTTCAACTTCCAAGTTTCAACACCAAGAAAATCAGAATTCCATTATTAGTTTTTTTTTTTTTTTTTCCTTAGTACTTATTCAACACC